AGACATGAAAAAGATGAATAACAACTGGAATAAGCTGGAAAGGATTACCCAGGACAGGGTTGGATGGCGAATGCTGGTGAGCGACCTATGCTCCTTCACGAGGATTAACAGGCGTAAGTAGGAAGTAAGTAAGTAACTTTTGCAAGCAATAATTTTTAATTTGAGAAAAAACCAAAACAATTACGGCTTAAACTAGTTATTCACACCGACTCTTGCGTTGTTAAACAATGTTACACACCTTTCTACTTTGCGCCACTCAAACCTGTCTCCCAATAATTACATTAATAATTAAAAAAAACTGTGTAATCGGTTTTTAATACTGTTTTAAGATGGATAAAAAAGCCAACATTTTGTTCTGTGAATACTTCTTGGATAATAATGTGCTTTAGTAATAACGCCATTATCAGTTTAGATCTAAGTGTCAATGAGGCTACAACCATAGATAATTTGTTATCATGCTATATCTTTATATATTTGAGCGGAAAAAGTGTACAACTAGACCGTACTGAGCACCTATTTTGGTAACTCTTATGTTTTATAGACCGTAAATTATAACGTGACAAGATTGCCAATCTGAAAACCGACTTATACGACCTTGGCTGTATGCCAAACCAATGACGTGTCAACCAGCACAAGCAGCCTAGAGTCAACTCTGAGTCGTTGTTTGTTCTTCTCGGCTGGCACTGTCCGTTGCGTCCAGAACACAATCTCAGATCCCACTGTATGAATCATGTTTTTCAAACATGCGCAATTTATATACAAGCAAATTAGACTGCACCATACCATAAAATATAAAATAACAGTTATACAAAATCAGGCTAAAAGTGGTTGTGAGTGTGAGATACTGTAACTAATAAATTGAGAAGAACTTAAGAATAATAAATCGTATAATAATAGTCAATATGTCAAATGGAAGTTAATAATAAAATGAATGTGAATATACATTAATTATAATTACTTAATAGTTATCCAATAGGAATATATGTAATACTTTTCCATAAATATTTCCTAGTTTGGTGTGTGCCACTGACCTCGATAGATATAATTAGCATGTATCATTAATCAAAAATGAAGTGCCTGGCAGCGGAAGGTTAAGAAGATAAAAATAAAGAGAACAAGAACGAAGAATGATTGTTGTGAAAACGAAGGACCAATGAAGTCTCAAACAGTTGATTGACATTTCACAAATGAAGTATTTACTGTATGGTTCCCAAATTTTACTAAAATGTTCTGTAATTTTATAGTCAAATACATTCAATTGTCCCCATTTGTGTTCTCGTTCACTACACTAGCAGTTACCAATCATTTTTTTCTTCATTAGAATATAAACAATAACAATTAAGCTAATCACTATGTTATTGTAAAATTTTCTAACCTCAAAATCTATCACAAAAAAAAAGAACCCCACCATAAGCATTTAAATGTCAGCGTTTATTTAAATTCCTTTTTGGAATTAATGTACCCTTTTACCATAAGGAAAAAAAAGGGTATCATGGATTAAAAAATTTGTAAAGAAAATTTACCCATTATTTCATAAAAATGGTATTTCTTTTGATTATTCTCAGTAGACATATTTTCTTGACTAAAATGTCTTTCTATGATTAATATCATGAGTCAGTTGAAGCTAGATCACCATGGTAAACCTGGAAACACTGGACGGCCGTTTCCTCCTACAGTGGGACTCCTCAGAAGTGCACATCCACGACCTCGCCTCCTGCGAGATTCGAACCCAGGACCTACTGGTTTCGCGCGCAAGCACTTAACCTGTTAACCACTGAGCTAGCCGGTATCCAACAGTGTTAATGTCTAACTTCAACTACTTCAAGAAATTGAGCGACACATTCATCATTGTCTTCAGTGAGCTTTGACTGACTCATGATCTTAACCACTGAAATTATTATAATATCCACAAAACCCATCTGACATTAAAATGTCTTTGTTTTTTTACTGTTTCTTTGCTTGTATCTTGATGTTTGTTTTATTGTGGTTTTTTCTCCGTTTCAACAAAGTGAATACAAGTTTGTTTGTTTTTTGTCACGATCAGTTATTTTTTAAAAAAAAAACTGTTAGTTTTGTCCATAATTTTTTTGTATGAGAAAGCTTTTATGAACTAGTCCTAACTATTTATTGTTTTCAGAGTGGGTTTTGTGGAGAGTTTTAGAAATTTCACAGGTTGTCTATAGTTCTATGTAAGATATTTAATATGGTGGAGAAGATTTATAGCTCAAGTGAATGATTTCGATGGAGTTTTGTTCACAACCAAACTATCCAGCTTAGAGAACAAAACTCCATCAAGATATTCAATAATAATAATAATAGTTAACTGAGTCAATTTTTCTTCTATTTTGTTAATCTAATGGTTTACTCGAATGAAAACTTTACAAAACATAAATAAGCAACATAAATACACACACACTGTAGAAGAGATTAAGTCTCATTTTTAAATGAAAAATAATAATTTGTCGTTTTCGCATAGGACTCTTTAGCTTTACGTTGGGAAATAGAAGTAGATTTGAAAAGGAACGAATTGGAAAGGATTACTTAGGGCAGGATTGAATCAGAAGTGTTGATGGGCGGCCTATGTTCCTCTCCGAGGAGTAACAAGCGTAAGTAAATAAGTATGTCTTTAGCTTTGTATATTCATGAAATTATCTGCTTTATTAAGCTACAATGCAATATCTTATGAAAGTACGCACAATTAATAATTTGAAGTATCTTAAAACAATCAAAACTATCGTAGGCAGATTATTGTTAAGAGTTACCTAAAATGTACTGAATATGCAAGCGAATAGATAGTTTTCTAATTACCACACAGTGTATAACGATGATCGATAGATGATTAAAATATTACACACTTTGTTCTAGGTGTATATTTAGATATATTTCCTATTCAATTTATAACTAAAAGCTGGGTGATGGCGAAGTTTGTAGCTCAAACCGAGATTTCCATAGATTTTTATCATTTGAAAAGGATGATTTAATTGTGAAGCTTCCAACATTCTTATGAATAACATTATCAGCACAAACTTCGGATAAAAATGAGGTATCCGAATTTCTCCACACATAACTTATTGACCATGATCTTAATTGGTTACTGCTGACCTATGGTTAACTGAATATTTATTTTGATTATCTTCGACTTAATTTTTAATCCTATATTAAACCGTGATATTTTTCTAATTGGCTGATAAATTGGATAGATTTAGATGTGTTTATTAGTCACATAAGGAATGAGACTCTACTTACAGTTGAGTAATAATATCAGCGGTTTCTAACTTAAGTAACTAGTCGTAACAAAGTAACAACAGGTTCTCTAATTTGTCTCTTCTATCTAGTTAGTAATTGTACTACATCAGAGATTTTAACTCACTGATCAATCATCTAATTGTTTTCAATTTTTACTCATTTTAAATTTAGCACAATTAATGGATTATTGTTAAATGGGGAAAAAACAAAGTTTAACTAATATTATTCATTACGTTGCAAATTAATCACTCTCCTTCATATCTCAACTGTGACAAATGTACACTTGGCGAGAGACTAATAGGTCCTGGGTAATTATTTTCAAAATGTGTATTATAAAAAATAAAGTTAAAGGCCTAGATACTTATTTTATTCGAATTGGAAAATGAGAATTTTTAAGTCTCAGAGTGGGCACATATTTACAGTTCATTGATTTACATTTCTAAATTAAGTTAATTTGATGATAACATAATCCTCTGCATCCAACATCATTCAACAGTTACTGAATATTTTCCGGATCAATTGACTTCATAGGTCAAGGGGTTTTCATCTGACATTATTTTATAACTATAAATAATTATCTATAACTTGACTAGCTATAGTGCAGAAACTTTTAACTTGAATTTAAAATTCTCCTATGTTTATGATTGTGGAAACTCTTACGTACCTGGTCAGCCTCATCAATGAATAAGGAGGATTAGATGCGGAAATAAAGGCACGGACTGGCAAAAAAAGATCTCATTCCTACATTTGAAGAACATATACAACTTAACACCACTGTCAATCAATATCAAAATCAGAATGCTCAATACGAATGTCAAAACAGTTCTACTGTATTGAGCTGACAGTTCGAGAACTATCACAATCATCATCAAAAAGATATAAATATTTCTAAACAATTGTCTACTCAAGATACTCAATGTCCAATGATCAGGTACGATTGGCACCAACCCACTATGGAACAGAACATACCATCTTCCAATGGAAGAGGAAATGAAGAAGAGATGCTGGAAGTGGATGGGACATGCATTGTGCAAGTCATAGAACTGTGTCACAAAGTGAGCTGTAATTTGTAGTCTTGAAGGGAAGGGGAAAGAGAAAGAGCGAAAAACATAATGTATCTGGAATTGGTAGAAGACATGGAAAGAATAAATATCAACTGAAAACAACTGGGCAGGATTGCTCAGGACTGAGTTGAATGGAACATGCCAGTGAGCGGTCTATTCATATTAATTAAAATACACGAATGATCATTAAGTTCATTCAAACAAACTATGATTAAACTTGTATTCTATTGTTACTTGAATTTTTTTATAGACTTATGTAACTTTTAGTTATATGATATAATAATTCATGTTATATATTTAAAGATGAATAAATTATACTTGAATATCAATGTTATCAAAGTTAAAACATAATCATTAATTTTGATGGAGTTTTGTTCTCTGAGCGGGATGGTTTGGTCGTGGAGCTTTCATCGTTCTTTTGAACGACATCATCAGCACAAACTTCAGGTAGAAGTGAAGTGTGCTGATGTTGTCGTTCAGAAGAACGATGAAAGCTTCACGACTAAACCATCCAGCTCAGAGAACAAAACTCCATCAAAATCATCTACTTGAGCTACAAATCTTCTTCACCATCTCATAATCATTAATCTAAATGTTTCAATATTATATGTATTATGTTAAAGTATTAAGGTAATGTACAATAATATTATACAAATTAATGTAATAAATAAATATATATTATTAGCTTACCACAACTTCCTCTATATTTTATACTTAAATCAATCATCATAGTACATGCTTCACGACGTAAATGACATATTGATTCATAATCACGATTATCTGTACCGCATATAGGTCCTTTATCTATTGAATCACCTACATCATAACATGTATTATAACAAATACATGTTGGTCTTTTAAAATCTATTGATGGTATACACCATGCTTGAAATGCACATGTATAATTTAAACATGGATTATGTATATTTGATGAAAATCTATATTGAAAACAATTATTATTATTATTAATTATTTTATGATTGTTATGATGAGGATTATTATTTTTCATTGTTTTGTCACTATGTAAGTAATTAGTTTTATTATTATTATTATTATATGGATTAGCAATTATGACATTTATATTGATGAAGATTGTTATTAGAAAATCAATAATTATTCTCATTTTGATTTCTCATTAAAATAATAAAAAAAATAAGATATCAGATTGTGAATTTTCTCTTTTTTTCTTTTCTTTTTTTGTTTTCCCTTTTTTTCTTTTTTTTTAATAAAGAAAAAAAAAGATTAAATATCCTCTCTATTATTTTATTGGATAATTTGAATTATTTGACAATTTTTCCTTTTTATCCATAAAGAAAAGAAATAGGGTATGGCTTATATATATATAAACATGTATATACACTTATCTAATTGTAATATATATATGGATCATTAGAGTGGTTGGATACATTGTTCATTTATGTCATTTATTATCAACAACAACAAGAACAGCAACAACAAAAATTCTACAATTTACAAAATGACAATCTGTCTAGACTTGATAAAGATTGATATATTAATCAATGATAAATTAATTTGTTTTTATTGAATGATAAACATTTAATAGAGATATGAATTATCCAATGAGAGTTCATTTGATTAAGTAAATAACAGTTAAACCAATATAATATTGTCAACCAATTATGATAGAAGAGTAGATAACAATTATATATATATATACATAAATGCACATAATATGTTATTGTTATGAAATAGTATTAGTAATAATTCACTTGGTATTGTTTTACCTGAATCTTCCCATTTATGTTTTAGGACTGAAATTGATAAGTCTGTTATTAGCATATGTGCATACTGTGCGTATGCCTCGATATTGCCTTAATTTACAAGCATTATAAGCAAAGATGGATAGTGGCTAGCAGTGGAATCTAGGACGCGCGTTTCGTCCTGTTTGTGACTCGTCAAGTAAAACAATACCAAGTGAATTAAACTTCACCCCATTGCACAAGCAACTGGCTATCAGGACTCAGTAGCTAAGTGGATAACGCAGTAGCGTTTGAAGTGAACGGCATTGGGCTCGAGTCCCAGAGTGAACACCAACTCTGCGACTCAAGTACATCCAGCTGACGAGTCTCAAATAGAACGAAACGCGCGTCCTGGATTCCACTGCTAACCACTGTCCATCTTTGCTTATAGTATTGGTAATAATTATGATAGCGTTGAAAAATATGAAGTGTGTACTTACTTATTTACCCATATACTTAATTACTTACTTACTTACGCCTGTTACTCCTCATGGTGGAGCAATAAGTGTATAGAATTCGACAAATAATAATATTAATATTATTGTACCAAAAAAATGAGAAGAAAGATTTTGTTGATATTTTAACTAATTAATTTAATAATATATGTCTACATTCAATTGATATTTATTTTAAAATTTGAATTTATGAATCAATTGAAACTAGACCAAGATGGAAAACCTGAAAGCACTTGACAACCGTCTCGTTATAGTATGGCACACCTTGGCACTATCTCGCTCACAACATTAGAACCCAGCACCCATTAGTCTTGTGCGCGAACGCCTAATCTCTAGATCATTGAGCCGGCCGGCATCCGACAGTGTTAATATCTAATTTTAACCAATACACTAGGACGAAACGACCGTTCGATGATTCCGGGTCTTCCATGGTGGTCTAGCTTTAAATGACTCAGGAATTCATTCATTAACTTACTACAATATCCACAAAACCCCTCTATGATGATATTTATTTTATTTATCACAATACTTTCATAATAATCTTAGCGATAATAGAAGAGATTAGTTAAATATTAACGGCAATTTCAACATTGATTTGATTAAACTGTATTTTTTGAAGAGATACCTCAGTGATATATTTGTTAATGATGATTTAAAAAGTATATTGAATATACACTTTTATGGGGTTTTAATTAAGCTTGTGTTTATGCTTAAACATTTATGGGAACAAAAAATTGGTTGGAAGCACATCCAACTTTTGGATCGAGAATACCACATCTGTTATTTATTATGATACTGTAGTAAACGAAGACTTGATGGGTATAATCAATTTAATGTTTAACGCTAAGTTACCCAACGGCTTAATAAAATGTGAAAATTATACATTGAATACACTATTTCCATATCTTCTTTGATTTGTCTCCTACAAACTTTACTGCCCTTTCATCCCTGTTGTAAATTTGATTGCTATTAGTTTTCTTCTCTCTTCTCTTCATTTCAATCTTTTGTTTACAGACGTTCAACTGTCGATTGGTACTATGTACTAATTATATCTGTCGACATAAATGGTATACACCACAATACTACTGAGGTGTTAGAAACTAACTTCTTCATTAATATAAAACTTACTCTAAACAAATCTTTTGAAGATTAAACAATTTATTATGATTAAAGAAGACCAGTTTTTTCGTCAGAGACTTTAATAATCAAAGATAAAACAATAAACTTATTCATAATAATTAAGTCTAAACAGTTAGATGAAAGATTCACAAATGACTTTCAAGTTTGCATAATTAACAAATGTTCATATTCATAAAATTTTATGTCAAAGATCACACTTTACTACTGAAATCTTTTTGACGAGAAGAATTGAATGGTTGAATAGAAGAATGAAAGAAAAAAAAACATAGAACAAAACGTCTTTTACCCGTTAATAATCCATTAATTGTTCATTTCATATTGATTAAAATATGTTACTATAAATAAACGTTTTAGAAATCGTTTAAAGATCCTAATAGTATTTGGACGAAGAATATTCTTTTCGATAAATTCTCTTCAGCTTCTACAATTATATATTCAAATTAATAATCCAACAAATGGCCAGGTTAAGGGCAAATTACATCGTTTAAAGCATGTAAATTTAGGATTGTGATAAACAAACTAGCTTCGTGAGGGAATTCTCGGAGTTCTAGTGAGAAGCCGTGACCAGTGGAGCTAATCCGTGTCGGGTAGAGACAGGTATCTACCTCAGTACAATGAAAATTGGTCGCTCAATTTCGTGGATTGGCTGATGTTAGACACTATCACTATTGGATGCTGACTCAATGGTCCAGTAGGTTAAGCGTTCGCACGCGGGACCAAAGGCCATGGGTTCGAATCCCGCGGGGTGCGGGATCGTGGATGCGCGCTGCCGAGGAGTCCCACAATAGGACGAAACGGCCGTCCAGTGCTTCCAGGTTTCCAAAGGTGGTGGTCTAACATCAATCGATTCACGATCTCAATAAAAAAAATACAATAAAATTGTTAATGTTAATATGACTCATATAGAATGTTAACTTGAATCTGCGTATATATTAAGTGAAATTTTAGGATCCATCATCAAAATAAATATGGGTCAAATAGGGTGAGAGAAAAATAGCAGTGCAATTACATTTTGATCAAATAAGTATATATAATTGTAGAACCTGAAGAGAATTTATTGAAAAGAATATTCTTCGTTCAAATACTAGTTGTAGAAATCACTAAAAGGTTTTTTTTTTGAAAAGAAGAAAAACTTTTCAGAATTGAAATGGTTAACAAACCAATAAAAACAATCTATATGGATATCAGAAGACATAACGATGAAAGCCAATACAATAACAACTACAAAATGAATTATGTCAACTGAGAGCAGAAAATTCTACATTGAATAACAATGGATAAACATAAGCAAGCAGTAAAACAATCCATATGAATGCACATTGATAGAAATTTGATATGAAAGGTGTTAAACTCCTAAAATGAATAGATCCAGAAAATGACAGAGAATTACTGAAGGCATGGTATTCAAGTCAGTTTGCAATCAATGGACTTAATAACATGAACTATATTCACAAATCTATGTGTAAAAGGTTCAACAGTCAAGTAGCCAGGAGTAAAGGAGAAAAAACAACAAATTTTCAATACGAATATAAAGACAAAACCATGGTAAACCAACTATTTATAGACAAGATCATCAAAACAGCTTGATTTAACTCTTGTAGACTAATCAAATAGCTTGATTTTAGGCGAAATATACACTGATGGTATTTTTCAAGATGAAAGGGATTGATACTGAATTAAAATCACCTGGTTTGGGAATAGAACACAACCAAAACAGGAAATAATCTGTTCTACAAAATCTTAATTAATAACTTCAGAACCATTTCGGTGCTAGAAATAATGATATGTTCATACAATCCCAAGGACTAGAACATTAGATTTCTTACGTTTCACAACCTAATATATGTTGTTTCTTCTTGGTGCTTTTTCATTCTCTGAAAAAGTAACTTACACAAGGTTGCATAATGTGATAAATTTGATTAACTACTGTTTGGGATTTTACAACTTTAATCGGAATTATCAAGTCAAACCTTGATGATAATACTTACAAACTCATTTTGATACATAACTCACTTCTTCTATACACTTACTTGTAATGTAAAATGATGATGAATAATTCCCCCACATATAATCTTTCTAACTTAGAATTATTCGAAATAGAAGTTAGTGATAATTAATTATTAGATACTCACAATTGTACAATTATTTACTAGTAATTTTGTTAATCACATTCTCCAGTAGTTATACAATGGATGAATATAGATAGTAATATAAACTAATTTATGCCATAAATGTCTTAGAGCCGTAATTTGTATCTTAATTTTGTACTTATTAGATACAAATTTCATTTCTCAGTTAATATTTATTAACGGTGAGTGTATAAAAGATTAGTTTTTCTTAAGTACTAAAGGGAATGAATATAACTTTATTGGTATCAATGATAGGGCTGAACATGATAGTTTCAAATACACTTAACACTGGATAGAAAGTTGACAGTATACGTATATATTACAGTATCTCAGTGAATAGAAAAATTGTATTTTTGGTGTTTCGTCACTCAAAGGAAAGATTGTTTTCGTTTTACTATTTAAACGTGTGTTAATTTTTTCTGGTTATTTGTTTTATCTGAAGAATTGACTTAAATTAAGTCACGAAACGTCAGAAATACGATCTTTATATTCGTTGAGATACAACAAAATATATTTTTTCGGCAAAGATGGATAGTGACTAGCAGTGGAATCCAAGACAAGCGTTTCGTCCTATTTGGGACTCACCAGCAGGATGTACATGTCTCCGGGACTCAAACCAAGTATTGTTTGCTTCAAACGCCATTAAGTTATCCACTAAGCTACTGAGTCTTAAGTTCAGCTGACAAGTCCCATTTAGGACGACACACGTATCCTGGATCCTACTGTTACTTATAATGCTTGTGAATTAAGGTAATATCGAGGCAATTTGCACAATATGTACATATATATGCCAATAAGAGAATGATCAATTGCACTCTTAAACATCAATGGAAAGATTTAAGTAAACAATACAAAGTGATAAAATATATTTATTAATAATATGACTTCATCTTACATCTAACTTAGTCTTCATTATTATGTTATATAAAACACTTGAATAAATCAGTAACGTGTTATTAATTTAAACAACTAACCTTTCAAATTCAGGCACATATCCTGTTTCATATTTAAACTAATCATATAAGTGTACATTTTGATTTAGTCAGTAATATTTTATTAAAATAAGAGTAATAACTGTAGAATAATAGAA